GCAACCGGGGTTAGTGGAAGGTGTCCCTGCCCATGGCAGGGGGCTTAGAACTGGATGGTATTGAAGGCCCCCTCCAATTCAAACCATTCTATGACTTGATGATTCTGGCCCTAAATCATCTATCAGCTACCAAAGTCCCAGCTGTAGGGACGTGCACCCTTCCTTTTCCATCTCCTCCTGCCTCAGGCATAAATCCAGAAACCTGTTATAGGTGGTATGGTTCCCTGTAGCTCTTACAGAGAGAGAGCAAGACATTTACTGGTGCTTCATGGTGATCACAGAACATTTCTGAGGTCTGGGAGAAAGCAGATGTCCCTCTCATCTTCAAGAAGCAGGATCCAGGGAACTACAGGCTGGTCAGCCTCACCTTAGCTCCCAGAAAAGTGATGGAACAACTAATCCTGGAAGCCAAACCTATTAAAGGACAAGAAAGTGACTGGGAGCAGTCAGCATGGATTTATGAAGGAAAATCACGCCTGACCAATACAATAGCCTTCTAGGATGAAATGGTGAGCTCTGAGGATGAAGGGAGAGCAATGGATATTGTTTACCTCAAGATTAGCATTTCCACACTGCCTCACACAACAATCCTTATAGACCCCCGATGAATCACGGACTAGGCAAACAGGCAGCGCAGTGGACTGAAAACTGAAGTGCTGGGCTCTGAGGGTCGTGAAAAGCAGAACAAAGTCCAGCTTCAGGCAGCTCACTGGTGGTGTACCTACCCCAGGTGTCCATACCGGGGCCAAAATACTTCAACTCTTCATTAGTGACCTCTTTAAACTGAAAAAGGGGAGATTTTCATGAGATCCAAGGAAGAAATTCTTCCCTCTAAGGGTGCTGAGGCACTGGAGCAGGTTGCCCAGACAAGTTGTGGCTGCCCCATCCCTGGAAGTGTTCAAGGCCAGGTTAGATGAGGCTTTAGGCAACCTGGTGTAGTGGAGGGTGTCCCTGCCCATGGCAGGGGGGTTGGAACTGGATGATCTTTGAGGTCCCTTCCACCCCAAACCATTCCATGATGCTATGATGGGACAGAGCGCACCCTTAGCCAGCCTGCAGATGACACACTTGCTGATTGTGCTGCTGTTCAGAGAGGCTTTGACAGGGTGGAGATACGAGCTGACACAAATCCCATCAAGTTCAAGAAAGGAAAATGCAAAGCTCTTCACCAGAGGAGGAATAATCCCATGCACCAGTACAGGCTGGGGGCCAACTGGCCGGAAAGTGGCTTCGCAGAAAAAGCCGTGGGATCCTGGTGGACAACGAGTCAGCAACATGCCCTTGCAGCAGAGATGGCCAGCGACACCTCCGGCTGCGTTAGGAAGAGTGTTGCCAGCAGGCCAGGGAGATGATCCTTCCCAGACTGAACGCTGCTCCAAGGACTGTTTTATTTCAAACTCAGTAGCAGATGAAATTGAGAAGCTGTCCAGGAAGCCGGGACTGAAATCAGGAGGTTTCCAGCACAGAGTGTATCAGTCTGAGTAATTCCCATTAATATCAACACACAAACAACTGGAAAGCAAGGTATTATGTTGCAGAGTGTTAGACAAACATGCCCTGGAGGCAAAATACAAGTTGCAGCTATGCTCCTGGAACACCTCACCAAGCAACACACTTGATGACCAGTAACACGCTGCTAGGAGCGGCTCATCAGACGGGAAAAGACTCAAGATCAAAGCTTCGTACGACGGAGATGGGCCCAAGCCGTGCATCACGTCTAGCTCAGAACACAACGACTTCACGCGTACACATTCAGCATCTCTGCAGGAAGAAACAAGCTATACCACTGTCGGCTTTCACTTCGAAGATGCAAGAAAATGAGGGTACCCAGTAAAAATACTGCAGGGGGGTGGAGTATCCACGAAGACTTGATACAAATTAGAATTACTATATTGGAGCAACTGTTCACCAGAAACATTTCCAGCAGATCAGAAAGACAGCAGAGCCTGACAGTAGGCAAATGGATGCCAGGAAGAAAAAAGAAAAGGAGAAAAAAAGGGCAGTGGCGGGGAAAACAAGTCAGCTTTCCGAAAGAAATCTTTAGTCAAGTGAAGTTAGAAAGGTCAAATCCTGACAGGTTCTTTGAGGAAAAACTGCAAAGCAAAAAGTAGAGGAACAACCATGTTTCTTCTCAAAGACACCAGGAGCAGCCAGCTTCCAACAGGCTGTAAGCAACCTAAGTATTAAGAACGTTGAAAATAAAGCAATAGCAGGAAAAACTAAATGTATTTTCCTATATTGACGTTCACCAGGAAGGAGCCTGGAGAGCTCATGGAGACACACGGGGGAAATCTCAACCTCATTAACAGCTTCTGCTTATAAAGGAACAAAAGGAACAATGAGCCACCAGGGCCGGACATCTCCCAAGAGCTCTGACTGATGAAGCTGCTGCTCCAATCCGTGCATAAAGCCTTCCCTGAAGCTACCAGAGCCCAAACACGGCTGGGATGACACTTGCTAAGGGCTCCAGATGGGGATCGGGAAACTGTCGGTTGGTGAGTCTGCTGGCCAGGCTGAGCAAACCAACGGAACGACAACAGACAACATTAACCTGGGCGCCCACGAGTTTTCACACCAGTGAAGGAAAAGCACAGCTCTTGGAAAGGAGAGGACAACTTGCACATCTGTGCAAAGGTGCCAGCAAGCATCTGAACAACACGGGCAGATATTCCTCCGGTGCATGTTTGAAGACCCATGTGCATGACTCAGCAAGGCTCCTCAGGGGCTCTTCAGATAATTAAACTGGCATGAGGTAAGAGGGATGGTCCTTCCATGTAAAATGTAGGAATAAAAGGTAAGAATAGTCAGTTCTCAATGTAAAAAAAAATTGCCATTGAGATAATCTGCCCCGGCTTCCTCCCAGACTGTTGTCCCCTTCACTGCCTGGGTGTTCTCAGCACTTGCTTCTCTTTCCAAAATACACTGGGAGTCCTCGGGACAGAAGTATGTCACAGGAACTTACGATGGTGCAACTTATAAAACCAACACGGCACTATAATAATGCCTGCATCCCATCAACTCATGCGTCACAGAACGGTGACTCATACTTGCCCAACTTACAGGATGCCAAAAATGAGGCACAAAAAGATCTACAGCAGCATCCTGGGGATAAACCATCTCCCTATCCAAGGTCAAACTCCCAGCTCTAGACCGTGAGCACCAAACGGAAGCGCTAAAGCAAAGCCCTTCCTGTAACTGTGACCAAACCCACCCTTGTGCAGCCAGCCCTCGTTAGGACGGCACAAGCCAAAGCTGCTGCCTGCCTGCAGCCGACTGCAGCGGACGGCGAGGACGGCCTCGCTCCGTGTATCTGCAATGCAGCAGAATGACTACATCCTTCTGCAGCAGCCGAGGATCGTGATGTTTCTCTGTCCTCTAGTCTTACACTTTCCAAAGCGGTTTACAGCATCTGCTCACAACCAGACATATGCTGCTTTCTCCACGAGCCCAGATCTCCAGAAATAAGCGTCTCTCTCGGGAAGAGAGAGCACAGGTGGAATCCGGGCCAGCCTGCTGAGCAGGCAAGCCTCGGGACGGTGCCTCCTGCATGCTTCCAGAAATGGGATGGAAGAGGGTTCTCAGAGGGAAAACACAGCCAGCTGCTGCAGGGCTGGGTCCCTCCAGGACATCCGTATTTCAGGAAATTAACATTTTTATAATGCATGAGGTACAATGCTCAGTTCAGGTATTTCTGTAAGTCAATTACTCGGAAAAAAAATCTACCTGAGGAAAAGTGTCATTTGAAAAGACCAGGATGCTACCCTGTCCAAGCAGATACTTTTTCCTGCTTCTGTCTCTAAAAGTTGTGTTTGTTTAGGTTTGTTTTTTTTAAGGGGGTGGGGTGGTTTGGTTTGGTTTTGGCATTTTATACTCCAGTTGGGCTTGTTCAGTTAATCACCAAAGGGTCAGGAAGCTCTCCCGGGCAGCAGAATTATAGCACAAAAAGAGGCAAGTCTTAAAACACATCACTCCCTTGTTCCCCGCAGTTCAGAGCTGCTTCCTTCTCCACGGCAGAACTCATCTGGGCCAGGTATTTCATGCTGAGGCCCCAGCTGTATCGTTCAGTGTCTTTTTTTAAGATTTTTTTCCCATTTTTCAAACCGAAGCTTTTCCATCTTCTGCTGCATGCGACACACTCTGCTGAAATTCCTTACTTCTGCCTACAATCGACACACCGAAACCTTTCCCAGAGCCACCACACAGCTGCAGCAAAGCAAGGAAACGTTATTTGAATCGGCTTCTTTTAATACAAAGCCCTTCTGTGTGGGCAGAGCTGAAAAATTAACGTGTTTTCTACCTTTCTCTCAAAAGGAAAACCCAGAGTCGGCTTCTCTCAGTCAGCTCAGAACTGTAATTAAAGAATCCAAATTGTCGTGCCCACACTCTGGCCGCCTTCCCCTTCTGCTCTTGTGCACGAAAACCCCTAGAACAAGAGTTTCTACTGACGCTGCTCAGCACTCCAGTATGATGTGAAAGAGAGAAAATGCCTCCAGTAACACAATTAAATGATAAAAATCTACTTGAAATAGTTCAAATATTTTAACTATGTAACAGGAACAGCAGCAAAAATAAAACAAAACAAAAAGATCAAAAAAAGCCTGAAGTCCTTCATTAAAACAGTGATCATAATTAGTTAAGCAGATCCAGTTTCCAAGCAAGAAACGCTTCAGAGAAAAATTTACTCTTTTTTTTTTAGTATCTCCAGTTGCAAGGAAGAGACACATTTAAAGTTTTGGTCTCTAAAGACGTGGAAGTTTTGTTAATTAACCTACTGTATTCCCCTTCCCAAATCTGAAATTCCATTCTACGTCCATCCAAATTTTGAAAACAATTCCTTTTTGGTTAAAAGCTGAAAGAAGCAACAGTGCACACTTACTGCCCAGACTGGAAGTCCTTCTCATTCACCACAGCACAGTTGGTTAATGACAGTTCATCCGTGGGACATCTCGCTGCTTGCATAGGCTATGAGAAAGAAGGAGAGGGGAAAAAAATGTCAAATAAAACTATTTTTCCTTTACTAAGCCATGCCAGAAAACTTCTGTAAATCCATAAAACACAAACAGGTCTCCTGAGTACTAACATACTCCGAGAGCATGGCCCACTGGCATTGACGAGCTCCTCTTTCTCTCCATGGTTTCTCCAAACTTCTGTTTGACCAGCAGAAAGATCAAGTCAAAGGAGCAATCCTATTCCAAGAGCACACGTTCAATTTTTTTCTCCTCCACTCCTACTCATGAATCGGCAGCTAAAATAACCAAACACCACCACCCCCAGCCCAGACCACCCCATCTCCGTCACGAGGCAGCACGCAGAACATCGGGGCAGCGCGGCAGAGGAACCTTGGCCTCATCCTACGTCCCTAACCCCATTTGCTTCCGCAGAATTATTCCACAAAACAACGTTTGAAAGGTTAAAATGGGGCTCGAAAGGTCTCTAGAAGTGGAGAAAAGGAAGGAAAAGGCAAGATGCCTCTATCATTAGCTACAGACTGGAAAAATTCGATTTGCAGGAAAGCTAAACCTGCCGCCCCAGGGTGTTACCTGTGGAATCACAGCACAACTGTTTTCACAGAGCAACAGAAACTGTTTGTCAGTGCCACCCTATGGCTAAAAGCCACTGGGATGGATTTTCTCTTAAGACACCACTAAATCCCAGCAAGGAGAGAAGGAAACACACCGATCCTAATGCACACATCTAGGTAATTTCCCAGGAGTTAACGTCCTGCTCAACCTTTCCTCCCTGACCCCCCTGGGTCATTTGAGAAAAGAATCAGAGAAAATTCAGCTCCATGTGGACTGAAGCAAAGCTGCCCTACAGCTCAAATCAACTTTTTATGTTGTAATGTAATTCTTCTAGGGTACTTGCTATTTAGAAAAGGATTAATTCATTGTTTTTACTGAGCAATGTTCAATTGCCCTTGACTTACGGGACAATTCCATTTTCAGCCTCGGAACAGATTTATCTACCTGAATCTGAAGCGTAATAAGAGACTCAAGGAAATTTTCTTGTAATAAAAATATGAACATCAGTGGATTTCTGAAACAGGCAACCTGCCTGTTAAAGGCTCCTCATCCTATCTTTGGGCACTCTCCACAAAAAAGCACTCACCATTTTATCATTTCGCCTTCCATTTGCGAGGGGACTATTTTGTGAAGGGCATGCCCTGCTAAAACGCATTAGGTAGGATATTTTTGGAGAAAAGCAAATGCAGAGCCCTGGATTAAACCTTTTACAGCACGAGTCCTCAAGTGCATTTTTAATCCCGACGGACAAACTGCTTCCCACACGCCAACAGCAAGCGCCTGGCGCAGCCACCGTTCTCCTGCGTTATTCCCGGCTGCGTTCGGGACCGGCCAAGCTCCGCGTTAGGGAAACGCGGAAATACGCAGGGACGTATCCCAAATCCAGCACCAGGCGCTCCCTTTGCAAGCTCCACAGGATGATCGACGCACGGCAGAACATCCCAGGGTACCTGACACGTGAAACGGCGTGGCTGCTCCTGCGGCAGCGCCAGCACCGGCGGTGCTGCTCATCCCATGGCCCCGCTCGCCCTCCTGCCGGGGCGCTGGGCAGAAGCCCGTTTGTCCCTTGGCAATGGCCAACATTTCAGACTGCATCTGCGACACACGCTGTGCTCTCAGCTCTCCAGTACATGCCCTCCTCAAGCTCCAGGATTTGATAGAATCATGGAATGGTTTGGGTTGGAAAGAACCTCAAAGTTCATCCAGTTCCAACCCCCCTGCCATGGGCAGGGCCATCGTC